CTGATTGATCTATGCCTACGTTTCCGTAAAACATTTAAATATTAATCTGAGAACACATTATACTTATACATTATTAATACACATGCACAGAGGTTTTCTGAATTATTTGTTAAGGTTTTCATGACAAAAATAATGTTTTAATGTACAAAAAAAGCGATCGCGGCAAACCCGGAAGTAGCTATTATCATGAATTGCATATACACATCTGCAGAGGATCTGATTATGGATATAGGTTCAGTATATAAATGATAATGGATATAGGTTCAGTATATACATGATTATGGATATAGGTTCAGTATATAAATGATTATGGATATAGGTTCAGTATATAAATGATTATGGATATAGGTTCAGTATATAAATGATTATGGATATAGGTTCAGTATATAAATGATTATGGATATAGGTTCAGTATATACATGATTATGGATATAGGTTCAGTATATAAATGATTATGGATATAGGTTCAGTATATACATGATTATGGATATAGGTTCAGTATATAAATGATTATGGATATAGGTTCAGTATATAAATGATAATGGATATAGGTTCAGTATATACATGATTATGGATATAGGTTCAGTATATAAATGATTATGGATATAGGTTCAGTATATAAATGATTATGGATATAGGTTCAGTATATAAATGATTATGGATATAGGTTCAGTATATAAATGATTATGGATATAGGTTCAGTATATACATGATTATGGATATAGGTTCAGTATATAAATGATTATGGATATAGGTTCAGTATATACATGATTATGGATATAGGTTCAGTATATAAATGATTATGGATATAGGTTCAGTTTATAAATGGGTAATCCAGCGCGGATGTTCAGAATTCTTTGTTATGTTTTCATGAAGTTCCAGAGCCTATAAAGGCTTGATCAAGCCCTGGCGATCCAAGATGGCGCCGTATTCAAATGAATGGTTGTGCTCAGTGGCGCTTTGTGGCGGCATGGGGGCTGAAAGATTAGTGGAAGTGGAACTTCGCAAAGATCTATGGGAAACTCGCCTGTATTTGGGCATCGTCTGGTCCTCCCGGTTCTGCGCAGTGGATGATCTCCCATAATGCGTTGCGCCAAATACGCGTGTGTGGGTCTCACATGGGGTCTCACGCACGTGCACAGAGGGGCTCAGCTGCGCTCTGACCAATCAGAGCAGTTCATCAGAGCGGGAGTTAGAGAGGGAGCCAGACGGACAGAGTTTGTGGCAGGAAAGTGTGGATTTAAAGAAAACCGAAGGAAAAAAGAGGAAAGAGGAAAAAAAGTTCAGGATGACAAGGGACACTAAAATCCCCACAAAATCCAACCTTTATGAAAGCTGTAGGTTCTCTGTCAGCTGAGGTCGAGCTGTTTTAATTTTCTATGGGGAACATTTCTGGGTAGCCCATATGAATTTAGTCTGGTTTAGTCTGCAGTACCGCGAGATTCCCCCGAGCACATGTGTTCTGCAGCTCCAAGCTAGTAATACCATATCCAGTTATTATAATAGATCCATGGGCTTGATTCGGGGGCTCCGCGAAAACAAACAACTGAACATGCGCGCAGCTACGAGCATCAGCGCAGATGATTGACAGCCCTTGGCATCCCTTGATTGGTTAACGTGGACGGCATCGTGGATTTCTAGCTATAGCTAAGAGAAGGGAAGGTGGGACTTATCCGTAATATTAGAATTCATAAAATGACTTATTTCATATCAATATTTAAGGCCAGGAGGTCAATTTAAAACAATTCTTAAAATTTGTAATTTATTTAGAGTTCCAGACTATCACTTTAAGAAAAGGATAAAGATCTTTTTCTCATCCCAAAGTGAGGAAATGTCAGTGTTGCATCATCAGTTACAGTAGGACTGAGGAGCACACAGAATCAGATAAATGAACACTAACTCTATACAAAACGTATGAATTAAAGTTAGAGGTCCAGTATGAATGTAGAAAGCATGTGTCCCGTTTTGCTGCTCACGTAGAGGACCACATTCTCGGTTACACAACAGTTCCACATGAGTTTAAAGCTGTGGTGGTTTAGCTGCAGGGACCGTGACATCTGCTGCTCATACAACGACACAGGCTTAAAAACACTGCGACATCAGGCTGCAGAGAGAGAGGGCCATTTCACCCTCCACATCCCAACCTCCCCCTCTCGCCCGCATGTGCGAGACCAGGACCGGACCACAAGATTCTGCTCAATGAGACGTTAAATCACCTTTTCAGAATAGACTTTAAAAGCAGTTCAGGGACTGGCCTGTTGTTGGGACTCTGAGGAACACAGTGTCTGGCCTCCTGCTTGTGGCCAGAGTCAGAACTAGTCGCTGTGGAATTTTGAAGGAATTCGTTTTTCCAGCCCCCGCAGACATTTTGAAACTGCCCATAGATGGTGAGAGTGGTGGCACGATAGTTTCAACGGCGGAGATGGGCGATTCAAATCATAAAAGGCCACAGTGCACTAAAAAAAGTAAAGATAAAATGTGGCTCTTCAAAGTATACAACAAAACAAGAAAGTAAATGCAATGCAATAGGTACAGTAATAGGTTTGGGTCTTCAAATGGATTCAGATTCAGTTTATTTGCCATTTGCAGTAAAACCACATTGGAATACATGTGCAAGAGTCCCCAGTGTGCACCAGACAAGTGCACACATAAAACAAGCTAAAAAAGTACAAGAAACAATTGTCTCTTCAAAACAAGTGCAAGATCTTTAAAGTGCTTTGTTCAGACTGATAACAGCTCTCTGGTCTCTCTCTGGTCTCTCTCTCTGGTCTCTGTCTCTGTTCCCTCTCTCTTGTCTCTCCCTCTGCGGTCTCTCTCTCTGGCGTCTCTTTCTCTGGTTTATCTCCCAGATCCTTAAAGTTCTTGTTTCGGACTGATAACAGCTTGCGCTATTAGCCAAACAAGATCTTCTGCAACAATATCTTCTGTCAGAGGGAAGAAGCTGGAACGTGGCTTTTCCAGGGGCCAGAAGAGTCATTGATTATTCTAAGAGCTCGGTTTTGTCTGGATTCATAAAGAACCTCCAGAAGTTTTTGCATTTGGCTTTTAGCGTCTGGATCCAGGCATAGTGAAGTACATGGAACCTGGACAGAGCCGGCTTCTGTGTAATAACCACATGTTTGGGTTTACTGCAGCTTTTCCGGCATAAATCATATTAAACGCTTACGTGTAATCCACCCACTGCTGTTATTGTTCTCAGACCAGTGAGTTTGTGGATTTGAACGATGTGGTTTTGCAAAAGTATTGCTCCCGTGCTCTTGTTACTTCACTGTCTGAGAAGTCATGGAATCAACCTCTCACAAAATACTACACAATATAAAAATCAGGAATGATGATATGGAAGAACCAATTAAAGCCAATATATTAGTGACAATGAGATGTAGCGATCGTCAGAGAAATGGATTAGGAGCAAAGTACTTGTTTTTACTTTTTGAAGTCACTTGACCCAGACTCTGGAACAATTTGCCCCCTGATATGCGAGTGTTCATTGATTTTGGCCTCAACACTAATTTATCTAGACTGGCTTTTAACACTCATTAGCGCGGTGGCAGTTTGTAAGTGCTTTTTAACTGTTTTGTTTGATTCAGTGGGGGTGGGTCCCGGCTCGGAGAGGTACATGAGCATGTGCACGAACATGCTTGTATTCTGATTCCTTGCCGGTGGTGTTGTACCCGGATATAGATTTATCCAATGGATTCTTATGGTGCCTTTTTCCACTCAAAAACAGCCATAGGACGGCCAAAAAGACGGCTCTTGACTCAACGTTACGTTCCAGAAGCTGTCGTGCAGGAAATGCATGTGCAAAAGTGTTTTTTCATAATTGTCTTGCAGGAGGGGCTCCCCAAGGCCATTTTTAAAAGGTACATGTTGATCACACATACATTTCAAAGGGTGAAATAGGCGTCACTACAGATTAATTTTATTTGCCATTTGAAATAATAATACATTCGCAAAAGTCCCCATTGTGCACCAGACAAGTACATAAATACACCAGGTTAAAAGTACAGAAATAAAACAAACGAAAAATGTGCAGGAAACAATTGACACTGTGAAATTGTCACGGTTGAACGTCGGTTAATATACAGTCTATGGTTTGATTACATGAATGTTTGATTTTTTTTGCGATTTTATTGTGAAGCCCTATGGTCGCCTTGAGTGTTGTAAAGATCTCTATTTGATTGAAAAGACCAGAATGACCACAGATATAGTTTATTAGCCTCAGCCTCCTTCTTTGTTCACTCCACATAACATTATTCCACATACTCTTGCGTAAGTGCCATGACCTGCTTTAGACCACAGCAGTTTTAATCTCCAGAGAACTTCACCAGTAATTGCAGCTCCGTTCTAATCCCGGCCGGGTCGCACAGAAGGACAATCTTAGGCGCCACATCTGCAAACTCATCTGCCGCCGCTTCCGCATCAGCAGCTTGTTGATGTTCTACTTCCTGGAGCATATTGTTTATCTCTCCTATCGAGTAAAAACAAAACACAAATAACAATAGATTTTGGTAGTTCCCTGAATTCCAAGCGAAGTCTATCTATTGTATTTATCGGAGCATTGGATAGCACAAGTGTGTGTGTGTCGTTTTGTCTATATAGATTATTTATTTGTATATGTATTATAGCAGTAGTAAAATTGCACAAAAAGAGGCTGAAGAATTACAATCAAACTTGACATATTACAGAATAAAGACACAAGGCACACAAACTACAGAGCAACGGGAGAGATGAGAGATAGAAAAGGACGAGAGAGACGAGGGGGAGAGAGACATGGGGGAGAGAGACATGAGAGAGACGAGAGAGCGGGACAAGATTTTGTTTTATTTCTTTTTATGCCTTTTTCTAATTTTACTTTAATAACTTGTTCACGGGGCCATAGATATGTACAGTATCTCTTTCTGCACAGTGACGGGAAATAATGAATTGTTTCTGTCCCTTTTTGTGTTGTCTTTTGGCTGTTGTCTGCTTGTTGAGACAAATGTATTACTGTGTGTGTCCAGGATGAGGAACCTGTCCGGAGGCTCTCCCAGACCACGTCACACCAAGAAGACTCACTTCATCAAAAACATGAGGCAGTACGACACCAGGGGCAGCAGGTAAGACCTGCTCTGTGTCTGCAAACACTGGTCATTAGAAAAAAATATGGATGAGATTAAAACCTTAGAGGTACACTGTGTAGTTTTTACTCCCATCTAGCGTTGACATCATATATTGCAGTCCTTTGGTACTACGGGTGAAGGATCTATTCTACGAGAACAACTGGATTGTACTCCATAAGATAACAACTGGAAACGTACCTTTTATTTGCAGTCTAATTTTAACATCTATTCAATGTGTTTTTGGATAGTTCTAAATCCCAACAGCAGTCGTCTCGGAGGTCTTTGGAAAGTTGTCAATTCACCAACAACAGAGAATCAATCTGTTTCTCTATTGTTGGCGATAAAACACAGGAAATGCAATGATAACAAACACATAGAAAGATGGATGGATAGATCCATAGACTTTATTGATTTACGTTGGAGAAATTCAGGTGTTCAGCAGTAAAAATGCATCCATCCGTACGAATAAACAAATACAGATTTCTAAAAGTGACAAAAACTGTGACCGATAACTGCTGTTGGGATTTAGGATGATACAAGAATACATTGAATTGAAAGTGTAGCATTACTTTCAAGAGGCTCTGTCTGGTCTGTTTTATGCTACAACGCTGGTTAACACTGCTTCTGAACTTGCTCCTCTGTCTGTACTGGCGAGAGCACTGAGTGTCCAGGTGCAGTGTGAGTGAAGCCAGTCGTGTCTTTCTCCATTGTGGCTATTTCTGGTCTTCCTTCCTCTCAAACACAAGTATAAATCAGGCTACAAACTACTCGTCTGGTAATAATAGACTGTGCTTTGATTGGTCTATAAATAGGGAAGAGACGTTATTGCTTTGCCAAGTCACGGTTCACAATCAGGAGAGAGAGACCAGAGAGACCAGAGAGAGACCAGAGAGAGACCAGAGAGAGACCAGAGAGAGACCAGAGAGAGACCAGAGAGAGACCAGAGAGAGACCAGAGAGAGACCAGAGAGAGACCAGAGAGAGACCAGAGAGAGACCAGAGAGAGACCAGAGAGAGACCAGAGAGAGACCAGAGAGAGACCAGAGAGAGACCAGAGAGAGACCAGAGAGAGACCAGAGAGAGACCAGAGAGAGACCAGAGAGACCAGAGAGAGACCAGAGAGAGACCAGAGAGAGACCAGAGACCAGCGATGAAGCTGTCTAACACAATCAGATCTGGAAGTTTTGAAGACAAGATATTTCACTTCTGAAGCAACTCTCAATAAGACAGAGACACTGCCAATCAGTTTTGTTGTGGTTGCGATATTTGGGCCACAATTCAATATTTTTACAATTCTTAACATATTGCAATACAGCAAGTATTGTGATTCAATTCTGTGATATATTTTGGTTCATGTCCCTCCACGTTATTCAAAAAAACATTTTAGCAATTGTTTAAACAGTCAGACACCCTCTGCATGACACTATGGCCGCCCACAGGAGTTATGGAAGCAACAGGCTTATATCACTGCGCTGCCGAACGGAACGTTTTAAGGGATCCTTTGGTCCTTCGGCTGTCAGACTGTACAATTTAACAGTACGCATTATTTTCCCATTAAAAAAATCATTCAAATTTTTTACTGCATATTGTTTTTAGATCCAAGTTGTGGCTTCTGCCCTCAGACCTTTTTTCTGTTTATTTCTGTATCTTTTTTGGTTTTGAAAGTCAGCAGTTTCCACTCAGATCTCTGGTGACTTCCTGTTTCTCTGCTTTCCCACGACACGTTTGAGTGCCGTGGGAGATGGCATCGTCCATAAACAACAACATCATGTCAAGAGCTAATCTGACTCTGGGGGAAAGGCAGCGCAGGGAAAACATTGTTTAGAAAGCAGAAACTAATGAATGAGAAACTGTAGAGGACACACTGGTCTCTGGTCGCGGAGGCTACGGTCTAAGAATAACACACAATAAGCCACATTTATGAAACTGCAGCTCTAGTCAATTTAGTTTTGTATAGCCCTAAATTACAACAGTAATTATCTCAGACTTTACAAGTTGTTAGTTTGTTGAATCGCCAGCACAGATCTGATAACCAAACAGTTTAAATACAGGAAAGGCAAAAAGGCAGTTTAAATACAGGAAAGGAGAAAAACACAGATTATCATTTTGATAATTTTTGATACTTCGGAAAGCATCAATACATGCCCATCGTTTCATTATTTATTTTTATTATTTATATACTTATACATCAATTCATTTCAATAATCAGTTTTTTCACCACAGAACTCTATAGAACATTTCAGCCAAATGAAGACCAGGGAGGGAGACCAGAGAGGGAGACCAGAGAGGGAGACCAGAGAGGGAGACCAGAGAGGGAGACCAGAGAGGGAGACCAGAGAGGGAGACCAGAGAGGGAGACCAGAGAGGGAGACCAGAGAGGGAGACCAGAGAGGGAGACCAGAGAGGGAGACCAGAGAGGGAGACCAGAGAGGGAATGTGTATTGTATTTTAATAAACAAATAATAGACCTCTTTGATTCTGTTTTTTTAGCACAGTCGTATCAGAGTCTCTCCAGGCCTCATGTTATCTTCACCACTGAACTCTACATTACAGCCAAAATGTACACTTAGTACAGTAAGTTACAGTACAGCAAGTGTAAGAACATTATCAAATGTTAATGACAACAGGACTAAAAATAAACCAGGACTCTGTGTTCCACTTCGACTGGAACTACTCTGAACTCACTCTGTATTTCTATAAACACTAAGAATTATTTCAGACAAAGGGCACTTGGGTATTCATTGAACATGTACATTATGTTTTTAAAGAAGAAAACAACAAGGACTTGAATGATGCTAATGTTGTCACTAATCAAAGTTCAGCAGATAAATGATTCCAGTCTGGCCTTAGCCATTCGTAAGCTCAGGTCAATTATCATTTATGAAATGAGTACAATGGCATGGTTAGACCAGGCTAAGTCTAATGGAGCTGTAACACTAAACACTCTTTTTCTGACCTCTTTCTTTACCAGAGGAACTCTAAACTAAGGTTGGAATAGATTTTGGAGAGAATGTAGTGAAATCAGATGCTGAATACACTTAAAGAGTTAGCCAGTGGAGCTGTCTGTGTTTTTAAATTTGGTTTTAACCAACTGAGTGAACCATACAGTAAACAAAGATGAGTGTGGAAATGGAATTTTAATACAAACCTGCAGAGTGAGTTTGTTTAAAAACTGAGTCTGTTGTATTTAGAATTTATTGAGACTCAACAGTGTTGTGTTGTGTTTTAGGATTGTCCTGATTTGTGCCAAGAGGTCTCTGTGTGCCGCCTTCTCCATCATGCCGTACGGAGAGAGCTTCTACCTCAGGTAACTACACTGCCGCCAATCTACAGGAATGTTATTCTGTCTTAAATACATCTCTCGTTTTACAGCACTGTGTTTTAGGGAGGCTCCCACACTGATAAAACTGCGTAAAGTTAACATTGATTACTTTGGGAACATCTCCTGTCCATGTGGAGACGGAGAGATGTGCGGGTTTAAGAAGCAATACTTTATCCAGATAATATGATACATCCATGCTTCCTGTGTTTACATGGGTAGCATGCTAACAGCAAGTAGCTAATCATTTATTTTCTTATTGGAGGGAATAGTTTGGATCTCTTCAGGATGCTGAGATTTTGCAATGTTTTTATCTGAAGGTCGGACTAGCATAACTATTGGTGCTGTCGCAGATGGACCTCGATTCCTTCATCGTTTAAACATGCATGCTGTAAAATATTTGGCCGTGTCTTCTTTACTAGCCTGGTCCTACCTTATCATCGCACTCATTTCATTTAGTACTTAGGTCTGGATGTCTTTATTAAATTGTCTCATTAGAATTTAATTGGCTCTTGGGGTCCATCCTGCTGTTGTTGACCCGTGACCTCTCCCCACAGTGACCCCACACTGAACCACCCCCGCAGGAGGCATTCTTCTGGGAACATCTCAACCCTGGAGATGCTGCCCGGTCTGGAGGGCTTCCACCTGGACACGTACGGCAGGGTAAGGTTTCTCACCACATTCAGCCAGAGGAGAAACACATCTGCTACCCCTCCATTCTGTCGCACAATCAGATCAGAGAGACCAGAGAGAGGGAGAGAGCAGAGAGAGGGAGAGACCAGAGAGGGAGGGAGACCAGAGAGGGAGGGAGACCAGAGAGGGAGAGAGACCAGAGAGGGAGAGAGACCAGAGAGGGAGAGAGACCAGAGAGGGAGAGAGACCAGAGAGGGAGAGAGACCAGAGAGGGAGAGAGACCAGAGAGGGAGAGAGACCAGAGAGAGAGAGAATTTCTGCACTAGTCTCGGATCGTTCAGTTACCTAGCATGATGTGTACCTCTCACGTCTGGGTCCAGTCTGGTAAAACCTTATGGTGTCACCCCCTTAGTCCGTATCGTACGCCCAGTTCCTGTACCCCACCAACGCCCTGGTGCGACAGAAGCCCTCGTCGTCGCTGGAGCTGAGCCAGACTCTGCAGCTGCCTTTATCCAGGAGCTCACACAGCATGGCAGGCCCCCGCAGCCGCCCGCCCAGCCGTATCAACAGCACCGTGGGCCTGGACCTGGGTAACAGTTACAACTGCTCTCTCTGTCTGTCTATCAATATGTATCTTTATATATGTCTCTGTGTCTCTCTCTCTGTCTGTCTGTCTGTCTCTCTGACTGTCTCGCCCACTCTCCCTTTGTTTGTCTGTGTGTCTCTCTCTCTGTCTGTTTCTGGCTCTCACTCTCTGTCTCTCTCACACTCTGTCTCTCACCTGACACGGTGGCTGAGTGGATAGCACTCATTCTTCTCAGCAAGAAGGTCCTGAGTTCGAATCTCGGCTGGAATAGGGTCTTTCTGAGTGGAGTTTGCATGTTCTCCCTTTGCGAGTTCTGTTGTCACTTACCTAAAGACATACAAACTAGGTAAAAAACTGCTCTGGTTGTCCTAATCAAGCCGAGCATCAACACCTGGAGGCAGATTCTCGAGCGCTGTGCTACGCCAACCGTTGCTCCTGACGTAAGCCTTAGCGGCATCAGGATGGGTCAAATGCAGAGAATGAATTGCCTTACGGGGATAAAGTGCACCTTTACCTTTTTCTCACTCTCTTATCTGTTTGTCTCACTCTTTCTTTCACTCTCTCACTTTCTATGTCCCTGTCTCCTGTTTCTGTCAATCAATCCATCCCAAAGTATGGCTTGATTGATTGAAAGTATTGATACTTTGGGTACTTCCCTAATATTTGGGATACATTGAAGAGATAAAGCACTTGTTTCTGAATGTGAGTTTGTGTGGACAGGGCCTAAACATCACTATCGTGTCCAATATTCTTCCCCTTCTGCCTTGATTTAAATCATCAAACACAGTGGACCAGTTATTTGTTGCTCCAGCTGCTAACGTCTTTTTTTACCTTAAAAAGCGATGGTTTTCACGCCTTTATTAACAATGGACTGCTGTGAGGTATTTTCATCTTCCTCTGTGCGTCAGCGAAAGCAAACGCACAATCTTCAGCAGTCTCCTGCCACCACTCTCATTCTCTGCCATTTCAGGACTCTCCTTATTCCTGCTTTTACCCACTCGTTTTCCCTCATTTCCTCTTCTCAGATCTACATACTCACATCTTGAAAACACTAAAACTAGGCTTGAGAGTATTGTCTAATCAGTTTGAGTTAGAGTTTGTTAATCCAAATCATATGATTTGTGTTTTTATCCATGGTACAACTTTGTCCACTTTTGAGAGAGGGAGAGAGTCAAGGGAGAAAGACTAGGGAGAAAGACGAGGGAGAGAGAGACATTCACATTCAAAAACATAAAATGACAAAGGGAAAATGTCTCATCATATTTTGCGTCGTAATTGATGTGTGAAAAGTGTAGTGTTTTGTTTTCCAGGTGTGGACGACTTCTCCGACTACGACCCAAACTTCCTCAGCGACCCCCAGTGGCCTTGTGGGAAACATAAACGAGTGCTCATCTTTGCCTCCTACATGGTGAGACATCCGGACCACTCAATAGTCCCCCTGTTAGAGATCCAGGACTGAGGCTGCAGATCCAGGACTGAGGCTGTAGATCCAGGACTGAGGCTGTAGACCCAGGACTGAGGCTGTAGATCCAGGACTGAGGCTGTAGATCCAGGACTGAGGCTGTAGATCCAGGACTGAGGCTGTAGACCCAGGACTGAGGCTGTAGATCCAGGACTGAGGCTGTAGATCCAGGACTGAGGCTGTAGATCCAGGACTGAGGCTGTAGATCCAGGACTGAGGCTGTAGAACGAGAACTGAGGCTGTGCGGTGCAGGACTGAGGTGGCTCCCAGGCAGGGAGGGGGAGACCAAAGTCCACAGAGGCCAGATTCAGGGGTCCTATCATCACACAATGACAACAGACAACACAAATAAACCAGCTACTCAGAGTGGTCTTTCTCAACAATAACATTTCCTTTTCCATTGTTTGCATTCTGAACCTTTTCTCGTTTTTCCAATGACACACAGTTCAATAGCTATAAAAAGTATAATACACTAAAACTGTGCATTAATGTTGCTCTCGGATTGGGAATCGGTGCACTGTAAACTTGTGGTGTAGTAATTGTTGGTTTTGCAGACGACAGTGATCGACTACGTGAAGCCGTCCGATCTGAAGAAAGACATGAATGAGACGTTTAAGGAGAAATTCCCACACATCAAACTCACACTCAGCAAAATACGCAGGTAATGTGTCGTTTTGGAAACATTTTACAACTTTAACACATTAAGATTAATTACGCAAATCTTAGGGGTTATTTTGTTAAGGAGGCATTTTCACCGGGAGGACATTTATGGTCGAGTTCCACTATCTGGATTGGGTATACAGCTGTCCCACCCATGGGCCCGCGGTACTGCAGACTAAATTCACGAGGGCTACCCAGAAAAATGTTGCTTAGAACTCAATGTAAACTTAAAGGCGCTATACCCGTCTCTGCAAGGTTTGAATGTTTAGCACCGCCCCCCAACTCGCTCAATGGCTTCTCATTTCCCCTTCGCTCTCATAACACAGAGCCATCTAGCTCAATTTGCGATCTGACATGTATGCTAACATTAGCATTAGCACAACTTCTTGTAAGCTGTACAACAATCACAGATGAAATGGTACTAAAGCAACGCACTGCTAACACAATTTATAGGTAAAAGAATACTGCTTGTTTCGCACCCGAATGTATTCATTAAAACATTAGAATATATTCAAGTAATTATAATTTATTATGCAGCTCCTCACAGCAGCAGTAGGACACTCCATTGACTTGAATGTAATTCTACCGATCATTTTTTCTTTAACAGAACTCTCAAATCAATAATGACCGCTGCCCTTTGACAATGCAATCTCTGTTTGTAATTCAGGTGTGTAAAATACTGCCATTACTCTGCAAGTAGAACGAGAGAAGCTAGCGAAGCTAGCCACGCTCAATAAATAACTACATATCTATTAATCAACACCATTGAACGTCAATCGGACAATACAGTATACATATAAATCCTTAACACACATGCACGGACGATTTCAGAATTTGCTGTCAACGTTTTCATGACAAAAATACTGTTTTAAAGTGACAAAAAGCGATCGCGAAAAACCCGGAAGTTACCATGAAACAGCTAGCTAGCTTAGCTGTTACCTGCCTAGCACGTCCCGGTGAAACCTTTGGGAGCTAACTATTTTATTTGCAGTCATTAAATACATTTCGAATTATAAGGGCTGTCTAATATTTGTTCGAATATATATATATATATATATATATATATATATATATATATATATATATATATATATATGGGCGACAGTAGCTGAGTTGGTAGAGCATTGGCCTTAAGGCCTGAAGGTCGTGGGTTCAATTCCCACCTCTACACCTTCTCCACCAACTCCCGCTGATGACTGCTGTCGTTGTGTCCTTGGGCAAGACACTTAACCCCCACTTTGCCCAAAGCCCCCACTGAAAGATCAAGGCTATGCTCACACTCAGAGAGCAGCCGTCCTCCTGTGGACTCACCACCTGCAGAGGGTCAGTGAGGGGCTGGTGCTATGAGACTTGGGTGGCATCGCTGACTGCCACCCCCCTGACCCAGAAATGGATTAAAGGGTAGAAAATGGATGGATGGATGGATGGATATATATAAATATATATATATAATTTTAGAATTATATTCGAATTTTGAAGTTGAAGCCCTGGTGTTAAGCAGCGCTGTAGAGGCTAGAGGACTCAGGCTGGTCGCTCCTTGTTCTGTGAGCGGAGGAGAACGAGCGTCCCGCTAAGACTCCACTCAGCACTTTTCACGGCATAAATTTCATACACAGTGGAATCAATGACCTTAAGTTTTCAATTAAATTATGTATTATGATACAACTTGTATGTAGTAAAAAGCATTTTTATGAACTTCTTAGAAAAAAAATCGGGTATAGCTTAACGCTAGAGCTCAGCTGACAGAGAACCTACAGCTTTCAAAAAGGTCGGATTTTGAGGGGTGTCCCGTCATCCTGAACTTTTTCTTTGTTAAATCTTTTGATTTTCTATAAATCTACACTTAAATGCAACCAACTCTGCTCGTTTGGCTCCCGCTTTAACTTCGCTTTAGCTCCGTTCTAACTCCTCTCTAAGGGTGTATTCAGACCTGCACATTTGCTCCACTTTAAACGGACCAGGATTCGTTTGAAACTCTGATCTGAAGCTTTTATGCAGGTCTGAATACACACAAACGAATCCTGGTCCGGACCAAAGAACCGAACCGAGACCCACTTTTTTAGGTGGTCTCGGTCCGCTTCCAAACGAATTCTGGTCCAGGTCGAATCAGGTCTGAATACATCCGGTGTCGATCCGACACAACTCCAAGATACGTGCGCATTTTTTGGGCTTAACAAGCCGCAGACAGAAACTGAGGAATTAGCCACGCAGCGGCTAACTATGCTGCTAACGCTGCTAACAACACTGAGCCGTGTGCAGACCTGGAGCAGTGAGGAGACGCTGTGCAACAGGCTTATGGAGTTACAACTGTTAACAGTATACATTGATGTTAATGGCAGCATCTTCAAACCATTTGCATTATTAAAAGCCTGACACTGTTTGACTCACGTCTCAAAAAGCAATATCCCGCATCATGTAGTGAATTGTGTTCTTTGGTTCCTACCTGATCCTCAGCGTCTGTTTGTCCCGTGGTTATTATAGATCCATGGTTTATCCACAATGCTGAACAGGGCCGTTATTATCATAGATCCATGTGTGGGACAGGGCACGGAGCGCACAGAGTCTCCTTCGGCTTTCTCCTCACGCATTCTCCGACACTGTTCCAATATTTAAAACAGTGCGTTTCGCCTGTGTCATATGAGCTGCTGCTGTTGATGTTGAAGGTGGTTTTGCAAACATAGGCAGAGCAGACATGCTGCACATACGAGCCCTCATTGTTTTCCTCCGGTTCCGCGTCTATCCTCCGTGAGCTCGCTGTCCAATAGGAGCGCCGATCGTCACACGTGTCAATATGTTTATATAAAAAAGTTCACTTGCAAAAAGGACAGTCTGAATACGAACCGGAGCAAAAGAAAAAAGTTTGGTCCGCTTTTGATTCGGATCAAGCAAGCGGAGCAAAGGACTTTTCAGGTCTGAATACACCCTAACTCCGCTTTAGCTCCGCTCTGATCACCTGCCGCTGATTAGTCAAAACGCCCCTTTTTGCACGTGCATGAGAGCCACACGTATTTGGCGTAAAGCATCATGGGAGCTTGTCCACTACCTAGAACCGGAAGGACCAGGAGAGGCCCTAATATGGGCGATTTACGCTAATGTGCTGCTGAGCACAAGACATTGATTTTAATAGGCCGCCATCTTCGATCACCGGGGCTTGAACAAACAAACAAACCCCACTGAACATGAAGGAGTAAGATGGCCGCATTGTTAGCGGCGTGGATGGAAAAATGGTTATAGAAACTTAAAGATAGAAGCGTCGATAAGACCATGCTTGTGTTTGCATTCATTGTAGCACCTGGAGTATTACCTCCATGCTTAGCATAGAGCAGCTAGCAAGGACCTTAACCCGAGTACAAAAACAAAGCCACAGAGCACCAGGTGATTGCTTTATGCCTGGCTCATTGGATTGCACTCATCTATAGACCACTGTGAATGGTAGAATAGGGCCTGCAAAATGTATTACATATGCCCAAATGTTCATGTGAAAAGTGTGTACATTTGTTGTGTTTTCAGTCTAAAGAGAGAGATGCGAGCGTTCGGAGAAGACTGTGGTCTCCAGCCCGTCACCATTGCCATGGCCTTCGTTTACTTCGAGAAACTGGTTCTTCAGGGTCGGCTTAACAAGCAAAATAGGTCATTACTCTTACAGTAGAATGAAGACCAAAGTTAGGGTCAGGGTTATCCTTATACCCCTTATATTTCACAGGAAGTTGGTGTCAGCAGCCTGCCTCCTATTGGCCGCCAAAATCAGCAGCGATCTCAAGAAGCAGGAAGTCAAGCACCTCATAGACGTAAGCGTTGTTTGAACTTTGAATTTTTTCTTCTTTTTTCATTTCAAATAAACACCTGTGATCCGTCTGGCGCATGCAGAAGCTGGAGGAGCGGTTCCGGATCGGTCGGCGGGAGCTGATCTCGTTCGAGTTCACAATCCTGGTGGCCCTGGAGATGGCGCTGTACCTCCCCGAGAGCAAAGTCCTGCCCCACTACAGACGCCTGGTCCAGCAGCAGCCCCTATAGTCCACCGCAACATAAAGGGAACATGGAACATACTTAGAACGGCTTGAATTCACTCGCAGGTGACGAGACATATGCAACACTGTAGATTTAAGCACTTTTGTGGCCATACAACATTGTTCCTCATTAAAAAGACACTTAGAGACACTTACTATGTACACTTAAACAACTCAGAGTGTGGTCTGAAAGCATAAGAATACATAGTTAGGCTATATCTGGATAATGCGGCTAACCTAATTAACTGAAATTTCCCAGCTGTGGGACAAATAAAGGATCTCTTAATCTTTGGCTAAGTTACCCATATTATCCAGTGATGGTCTGAGTTGGCGACATGACTGTGAGATAGCCTGAGTTAGCAACATTACCCGGCGATACCCTGAGTTAGCAACATTATCCAGCGATAGCCTGAGTTAGTAACATTACAAGAGATAGCCTGAGTTAGCAACATTATCCAGAGATAGCCTGAGTTAGCAACATTACCCAGAGATAGCCTGAGTTAGCAACATTACCCAGAGATAGCCTGAGTTAGTAACATTACAAGAGATAGCCTGAGTTAGCAACATTACCCAGAGATAGCCTGAGTTAGCAACATTACCCAGAGATAGCCTGAGTTAGTAACATTACCCAGAGATAGCCTGAGTTAGCAACATTACCCAGAGATAGCCTGAGTTAGTAACATTACAAGAGATAGCCTGAGTTAGCAACATTACCCAGAGATAGCCTGAGTTAGTAACATTACCCAGAGATAGCCTGAGTTAGCAACATTACCCAGAGATAGCCTGAGTTAGCAACATTACCCAGAGATAGCCTGAGTTAGTAACATTAACCAGAGATAGCCTGAGTTAGCAACATTACCCAGAGATAGCCTGAGTTAGTAACATTACCCAGAGATAGCCTGAGTTAGTAACATTACAAGAGATAGCCTGAGTTAGCAACATTATCCAGAGATAGCCTGAGTTAGTAACATTACCCAGAGATAGCCTGAGTTAGTAACATTACCCAGAGATAGCCTGAGTTAGCAACATTATCCAGAGATAGCCTGAGTTAGTAACATTAACCAGAGATAGCCTGAGTTAGTAACATTACCCAGAGATAGCCTGAGTTAGCCACATTACCCAGAGATAGCCTGAGTTAGCCACATTATCCAGAGATAGCCTGAGTTAGTAACATTAACCAGAGATAGCCTGAGTTAGCCACATTATCCAGAGATAGCCTGAGTTAGTAACATTAACCAGAGATAGCCTGAGTTAGCCACATTAACCAGAGATAGCCTGAGTTAGCCACATTAACCAGAGATAGCCTGAGTTAGCCACATTAACCAGAGATAGCCTGAGTTAGCCACATTAACCAGAGATAGCCTGAGTTAGTAACATTACCCAGAGATAGCCTGAGTTAGTAACATTATCCAGAGATAGCCTGAGTTAGCTACATCACAAGAGGTAGCCTGAAACTGCTAAAGGTCATAGAAAAGAGTGAATTCAAGCCATTTTAAGTCGCGTAGCACAAACATATGACCTTCTTCCGCTGACAGAACACTGTGATAATCGTAAAAACAAAACAAAAACAGCCATTCACGTCCTTATGCACCTTACAGCAATACGACTTTGTGGCCGTTACTTCATGGATACTACTGCTTCGGCCTACTGACTATACACATATCTATATTTTTTGTAACAGACAATCACTTCTGCTTTTATCATTAGCAATAATGTGTGAGGTTGACAACACGACTGAATCATGTGGAACCTCTCCGCACTAAAGTAAGCACAATCTATATTTATTGAGCATATGTATTGGTGTTGGTTGTCACGTTTTTGCAATGTGTTTATTGCAAGAATGAAGCCTGATTATTCAAAACCTGTTTTAATGGTTTGCTTGCTATGTTCCTCAGTATGATATAAAACAACATTATTGTATTTATAAGTCGCTCAAAAACCTGAATCCTTACATTGGGTCGTCTCACCTCTCCACAGAAATGACTTGAAATTCTATGACTGTCTCCAATGTAGATGGAAATGTCATATTGTGTAACATTTCAGGCAAACGGCAACATTTAGACCTGGTAACATTCATAATTTTTATCCAAAATGAAAGCTTCTAAAACTTTTATCTTTACGACCAGCCCCACAATCTACATTTAGAGCTGGACTTTTTGCTTGAGTACATTTCAGAGTGCACTAAAAAAACACTGCTTTCGCCAAGTAAGGAATTGCTGTTGTAAAAGCTGCAAATTTATGTTTATATTAATTATTTAAAAGCAAAGGGGTTATGCCATATATTTAATCAATCTATTTATTGCATTGGTTTTATTTAGCGATTTTTTTGGACACTTAAAGATGCTTCACTGCATTCTACACCTGTAGCCACAACTGCCCTGGGGCACACTGACAGACCATTCACACACACATCAGACTCATTCTAATGTGGGTGAAGTGTCTTGCCTAAGGACACATTGGCAGAGTTGCACTTTTCAGCTGCAGGTGACGCCACAAATTGAAATTGGGCCAATATGTCGTGCGACTGCTATAACATTTATAAACATAGAAGTGCAGCCACGGATGAGTTAAGCAAAATGTAGTGATTCCTTTGGTGAGTCACTAAAGTGTATTTTAGAATTGAGAGCTAAAATCAAATGTACTCTAGCAATATATCTAAACTGTTAAAGGAGACATACTATGCAAATGTCCATGTAACAACATTGTCCCTCATCAGTCACAGATCTGGAGTTTTTTCAGATCCATCCATGTTAAAATCTGACACTTTTAGCACAAACATGTAACTCCACCCCTTTCTGTTTAAAACTGTAGGATGTCATTGTACCACTATGACATCCCACTTTTAAAACAAACGTATTGCTCATTAATTAGTTAGGTGGCAATTTCTCAAGTGAAATGTCTATGTTCGCATTTCAGTTACATTTTCTAATTTGTAAAAAAGAAAGTCAACACAGGGAACTCATCCCCCTGGTGGCAGCATAGGGAGTTACAGGCAGAAAGCAAATAATTTCACATTCTAAAACATGAAATTACAAAGTACATCATCCTGTTACCATATTTAATGGACAAAAATAATGCGTAACATTTCTTCTTTAAGTGATGACAGTAATGCTAAACATGAGATTAGATTTATTTGAACAAAGCGAAGAATGAACTCTGGGATTGGGAGAAAAAAAAAAAGAGAAGCTAATTCTGTTCTGTTAAACCACATCACAATAACCAGCAATGGAGCGGCGAAGTGGGCGGAGCTACGGGGTCCAGGAAGTAAATTTCCCCATTTAAAATCCCCAAAGGAGTTTTGACAAATTAAAATATCAAGAGACTGAAGACACAAGTTCGTTACCTGCTTATGACTTTACCCAGCGCTAATGTTTTCACCCCAAAAGCACAAATACAAAGTGTACAAATAACACTTGTTTTAAGTTTAAAAACATACTTAAACTACAAAGCCCTTTTTCCACCAGCTCGGCTCTACTTGACTCTACTCCACTTAGACATATTCTATCTGGGTTTGTTTCCATTACACTTAAGTATCTGTTACCAGTACAACCAGGACTTAGAGGGACTAAAAAAGTACCTGGACGCGGCCCTCCGATCGGGGTATAGTAGTGCGGAGTTGGGCCAAGAAGGGCTGTTGGAAACGGGGCTAACATAATGTCTTGTGGTCACAGTCCAAAGAAAGTTTTTCATCTTGAATTAGAAAGATCTTTATAAATCTAAATGGGGAATGGGGAATTTTACTTCCTGAAACTATTGGCTCCGCCCACTTCCCAACCCCATAGAATCACGTTTACAACACATGGGTTTGAGCACAGGTTGAATTATTGGGAGTTAGACTTGACTGACATGTTCCTGTGTGTTCCTGCTTTCTTCTGCACTGTGAGAAAGAAAACTACCTAAAGTGATTGATATTTTTCACGTTTTGTAAAGTATTATTGCACATATTTTTGTACCGGCATAAGATAAGCATTGTTTTTATTATTGCAATAGTAATTTTAAAATGATATGTAAATTATTCAGAAAAAGCTCACCTCTGCTCTACTCTACTCTACTTGGCTCTTCTCTACTCTACTCTACTCTACTCTACTTGGCTCTACTCTACTTGGCTCTTCTCTACTCTACTCTACTCTACTCTACTCTACTTGGCTCTACTCTACTTGGCTCTTCTCTACTCTACTCTACTTGGCTCTACTCTACTTGGCTCTTCTCTACTCTACTCTACTCTACTCTACTCTACTCTACTCTACTCTACTCTACTCTACTCTACTCTACTTGGCTCTTCTCTACTCTACTCTACTCTACTCTACTCTACTTGGCTCTTCTCTACTCTACTCTACTCTACTCTACTTGGCTCTACTCTACTTGGCTCTACTCTACTTGGCTCTTCTCTACTCTACTCTACTCTACTCTACTTGGCTCTACTCTACTTGGCTCTACTCTACTCTACTCTACTCTACTCTACTCTACTTGGCTCTTCTCTACTCTACTCTACTCTACTCTACTCTACTTGGCTCTTCTCTACTCTACTCTACTCTACTCTACTTGGCTCTTCTCTACTCTACTGAGTGTGTTTCCATTACACTTTAGCATCTGTTATTGTATCCTAGCAACCTACCCAAAACAAAGTATCTCCAGAATTTTCTTTTCTTTCTTCCAGCAGCTCTTTGGCCGATCACTGATACTTTAGTACCAGCTTGGTCTGGATAGAACCAGAACAAAGGGGACTAAACAAAGTACCTACTTGGCCCTGGTAAAAAAAACAAAAAAATACAGAAATCTGTGAATTTCAGTTTTTTACGTTGCATTTTTTTCAGTTTTTCACATTGAATATGGCCCAATATTTATGATGTTTTATGTGTATATTTTATTTGTTTGCCATAATGAACACCTTATTTTAACACTATATTGTACATATAGTATATTTGATGATACTGACGCAATACATTAATGGTATAAAAGCACACACAACATTTTGAAGAGAAGGGCCATTTCTCAGTCCGTTTTTCCATATCCAATATCCAAAACAAAAAAAAGAGTTTGAAGGCTGGGGTTAAAGCTAGTTTATGTAACTTTCACACAGAAAATCAGAAAATAATAGAACTAGAGTATACTAAACCTCTTTCTTTTCTCACAAATGTATATTTTGGCCTATGTCACATCTTTACATCAGCATCACGAGAGGACAACCCTCACTCACTCTACTCTACTCGGTTCTACCCTACTCTACTCGGTTCTACCCTACTCTACTCGGTTCTACCCTACTCTACTCGGTTCTACTCTACTGTACTCGGTTCTACCCCACTCTACTCGGCTCTACATCCAAATTGTACAACCGGAAACGGCTCCATTGCCCATATTTGGATTGGTACAGCCGCACTTCCTGTTTACTTGTCTCTATATTAGAGATTTGTGACATTTTATAAGCAGCATTTTTGTGTTTTATTAGATTTTATTAGATTTCCATTATGTCTTTACCTCCAACTGTGTTAAGTTATTTTTTTACCTAATCACCATTTTCATTATTATTATTATTATTTAAATGTATCCGTCTTCCATGTTGTTTTAAAGGTGCACTGTTCATCTCATATATAACTCCTGCAGTCACTTCATCTTTAAATACATTTGTTGCTAAAACTGCTTGAATAGTGTGCCTTTGATTCCCAGTGTGTGTAGGACCAGACAAACGCTGCATTGCACACGGTCTGTTTTGTAAAAAGAATAAAATATGGTTGTACAAATTACTTCTGGCTGTTTCCATGTCATTTTTTATATTGTGGAAGTATTTCTAAATATATTTTTGAGACAGAGGCAGGTTACAGGGTTTTTTTCAGCCGCTTTGATGCTTTTCTCAGATCAGAAAGTTCTCACTTCAACCACAACATTGAGTCATTTGTCACATCATCGTAGCAGTTTCTCATTCCTTTGAACAAGTTACAAATGCTTTTGGACATGAATTAGTTACTTTCATACAATTCTCTGCTGTATTTACATTATCATTTGCTTTTGTCCTGTCAGTCAAAATGAAACATACATATAAATGACATTTAACATATAGCTTAAAGGTCCTCATTTGTCGCATGAGTCATTACATACAAAATTGTTGAACTTATTGTCAAAATGTGTTGCCTTCAAGGGAAGACATCCGCTGTGATCCGCTGTAGATGAAAATATGTGGCCAGACAGACAGGCGTGGATGTCCAGGAATCATTTATGTTCAGTTTACAGTGATATGTACTGTTCTACTGTTTACATTTGTTTGTTCTAGTGACTATGTATTTTCTTTGCACAATGTAGTGGAATTACAAAGATCATATGCAGTAAATATATGAGATATATACATACATCCATATGTGTCACTAAATGCAGTAATGTGTAACTTTACTGTAGTTCTAAATGGCTGTACAGATAGTGTCTTGTGCTGTTTTGGCATTTTCAGGTTAGTGTCACCAAGATCTGACTTTTTGCTTTGGAAAACACACAGCGAATAAACTGTCCCAATGAAAATATGACAAAGCCATTTTTAATACTTTGATGATAAAACAGCTCGCTTTTGAGGAATCAAATTCCACAGTTTTCAGACAGGTCTTCTGTGATGACACTGCCCTCTAGTGGCCATTAACAAAACTGATTGAAAGACAAATTACTTACTCAATAGAAGTTCAAGTTATCTTTTATTTATATAGCACCTTTTACAGAGTCACAAAGTGCTTTACAATTTCTTTGTTGTGGTAATGTCTCTCTCTCCACACAGAGATGGGAGCGAGGTCACCAAACAGGAGGTGCATACCAGACCTATTGAAGTAGTGTGTATAGTGGCAGGGGAAACCGCAGCACCTGGTGGACACTTCCGTAGACACGGGGAGAACATGCAAACTACACAGAAAGTCTTGTAGTACCTTCTTGCTGTGAGGCATGTGCTAACCACTGCACCTCTGTGCTGCCCAACATCTTACTTATTACTCTATTATATATTGCACACACAAAAAAGTAACAAACAAAAACACAAGTCACTGTTACTAAAAAGATAAAAACCATTCAAAACATAAAATTAAGACAAAAGATTTTACAAAGCTCCGTTAATAAAAGAAAAGTACAAATTGTAATACTGCAATTGCAAATACTGCAAATACTACAAAAGTTTGAAGTACCAAAATAAACGAGTCACAGCAGTAACAAAATAATCTTGTTTAAAAAACATACAAGAAATGTCTCCCTTGGAAGGAAAAAATAAAGCAGCAGTTCTTGAAATGGGACTAAATGTTTTTGTCCCATTGGAAAATCTTTTAACACTGTCAGAATGTACTCTGTTCTTGTCTGTGTGTGTCTGTCTGTGTGTGTCTGTGTGTGTGCCTGTGTTTGTGTGTGTGTCTGTGTCTGTGTGTATAAACTCTTACATTCAAATCTTATCTTCAGCCGACTGTTTAAACTATTTCACATATTTCTCCCTTTTGTCACAGAGAACATTTCTTTCTGTTGTGTTGGACTTTGCCCTACAGCCGTCTCGAGGTGCGAAGAGCAGAGCATGAGGGAGCATGTGATGAAAATATTGATCGTGGGAGACGGAAATGTTGGAAAATCGTCTTTTGTCGATCGATACGTCCTTGGCCAGTTCAGCGGGAGATACAAGATGACTATGGGAGGTGAGGCGGCTGGGTGTTGTTCTGGACAGGTCTGAACCAGATCTGAACCAGGACTAAACAAGGTCTGAAACAGGTCTGAACCAGGACTAAAACAAGACAGATCCAGGACTAAACCAGCTCTGAACCAGGTCCTAAACAGGTCTAAGCCAGAACTCAACCAGGTCCGAACTAGATCTTAAACAGGTTTGAAACAAGTCTGAACTAGGACTAAACCTGATGTCAGGCAGGTCCAAACCAGGTCTTAAACCAGATCCGAATCAGAACCAAACCAGGTCTGAACCAGATACAAACCAGGTCCTGAACAGGTCTGAACTAGGACTAAACAAGGTCTATAGCAAGTCCAAACAAGATCCAAATCAGGATTAAACCAGGTCCAAACCATGTTCAAACCAGGTCTAAACTAAGTCAAAACCAGTTCCAAACCAGGGCTAAATCAGCTTTAAACCTGGTCCAAACAAGTTTAAAACCGGTCTAAATCAAGTCTAATCATGTGTGATCAATGTGGAGGATCCTCATCTGTCTATCAAGACGTCAAATCAATTGCATCCAATCAGGAACATTTGGGGGCAGGACCGATCTCCATCTTCACAAAAGTAACTTTCCTTCCTTCGTTCTAATCTGACTTGTGTTGTTTTCCAGTTGACTTCTCGTTGAAGATCTTGCACTGGTCTGAGAGGGAGAAGGTCAGGCTGCAGCTGTGGGACATAGCAGGTACTGGCAAATACTTCTACTTCATTTCCTCATGTGGACTTCCCACGGTGTTAGCTTCAGAACAGGGGCAGACATGTTGCTAAGACGGTTGCTAGGACAAGCTGGAGTTAAGGTTCATCCTACTGTAATATGGCTAATACCTGGATTCACAAAATGATATCAAAGTATAAACACCAGTATCACAGAGAGCACTACAGAAGGGATTTTTTTAAAAGCCAAAACTATATTACTACTACTAATATATCCCATAACAACAAGATGCTTAGTGGTACTTCCTTTGTTGGGCAGCTTGGTGGCTGAGTGGAAAGCAGTCTAGCTTCTCAGCAAGAAGGCCCTGGGTTCGAATCTTGGTCGAAACAGGACCATTCTGAGTGGAGTTTGTTTGCTCTCCCCATGTCTGTATAGGTTTCCTCCAGGTGCTCCGGTTTCCCCTACCTCTAAAAACATGTACAATAGGTCTGGCATGTCTGTGAAAGGTGTTATATGAGTTAAGATGACTTTTTTATGTGTGTGTGTGTGTGTGTGTGTGTGTGTGTGTGCAGGGCAGGAGCGGTTTGTCTCCATGACTCGTATCTACTACAGAGGTGCGGTGGGGTGTGTGATGATCTTTGACTTGAGCGACTCCAGGAGTTTCCTCAACTGCAGACTCTGGAAACAGGACCTGGATCTGAAGTCGGTGCTCCCCAACGGACAGCCCCTGCCCTGCATCCTGCTGGCCAACAAGGTCTGACCCACTGGGAAGACTGGGGGAAGACTTTGAGAAGACTCTGGGACCTTAAGCTAAAAATGGTCTTAGAAGAAGATATACTTTATTGATCTTTAATTTAGTGATCTTACCATACCAATGTACTCATTTCATTTCATACTTAGGTCTGGATTCCATCTGCATGTTATGCGCCCTAGCGAATGAGGCATTCAGCATTTAGCGCGGCACAGTGGCTGAGTGGATAGCACTCTCGCCTCTCAGCAAGAAGGTCCTGGGTTTGAATCCTGGTTGGACCAGGGCATTTTTGAGTGGAGTTTGCATGTTCTCCCCGTGTCTGCGTAGGTTTCCTCCGGGTACTCCGGTTTCCACTAAAAATATGTGCAATAGGCATGTGCCTCCTGTACTGGCTCCCCCACTCCCAAAAATCACAATTGTAAACCGCTTTGAGACTCCGATGTGCAGTGAAAAGGCGGTATATAAATAAAAATTTCTTACTACTACTTACTTACTTAGCTTAGCCAACTCTTGACGTCACCGACACCTACCTACATCACCCGCCTCTCAACAACTGCAGCCACTAAGATCAGAACCAGATGTAAATGTAGGGAAATGATAATTTACCTGAGTTTACGGATTGCCAGGCTGGGTATATTCTGTCTTCATCTTTTATAAAACAAGTGAACTTTTGCATGTTTGTATAATTGGCCTTCTAAGTTACTATTCTATATACTGACCATAAAAGTTAATACATTTCCATAAATATGGGATCTATGTACAGTCAATGATAGGGGAAACCGGAGCACTTGGAGGAAACCTACACAGGCACAAGGAGAACATGCCACTCAGAAAGACCCTGCTCTGACCGGGATTTGAACCCAGGACCATCTTGCCAAGAAGTGCTAACAACTATTGCCCATTTTGGCAAATAGGCTAAATAATCAAAGACAAACCAAACAGCATAAAAATTAGGATGATAAACAAGATTGACATAAAACAGGTTCAAACATTTTTATTGAAAATGTGAGACAGGCTTCTTCTTCTGACAATTATAAGTTCTGTTTATCTGCAGCAACCAAGGGACGGCATCTCTTTTTAACTCACTGTGATTATCAATAAATATGATTGTAATGCCTTGTGTGGTTTCGATCTTTGGTTTGGTTTGGTTTGGTTTGGTTCAGCACCTGTGTATGAACTGCTCTATACAGATGTTTAAAGTGAATGAGTAAAATTGTAACTGTAGTTTGGTGTTTGTTCCACAGAGTGACTTGAGCGCGAGAGTCGTGGCCACAGACACCATCGAGGAGTTCAGTAAAGCAAACGGGTTTATCGCCTGGATGGAGACTTCAGTGAAGAAGAATACGAATATTGAGGAGGCTATGAGGTACAGAACAAGAACCTATAATAGTAGTAGTAGTAGAATTTGGATTAAAAGTGGTAGTTGTAGTAGAAGTAATATCAGTAGTAGTAGCAGCATCAGTAGTAATAGTAGTAGTAGTAGCAGAAATATAACTGCTGTAGTAGTAGTAGCTGTAGTATTGGTAGGTGTAGTATCAGTAGCAGCTGTAGATGTGTAGTAGTGGTAGTAGCTGTAGTTGTAGTAGTAGTAGTAGTAGTAGTCGTAGCAGCAGCACTAGTTGTAGTAGTAGAAGCAGTAGTAGATTTATAACTCATTACCAAAAGATTCCTGATGGAGTAGTTTGGTAAACAGTATATGGCAGTGATGATGATAGTAGAAGTAATAGGTTGTTATTTTTGCAGTAGTAGTATTTATATGACTTGTTATTGTTTTATGCTCATGCTTTAAATAAATCATTCATTAATTAGAGACCTATTGTACTGCAGTAGTAGCGGCAGACATGTACTCTGCGTAGTTTAAGTACCTGTGATCCTATCATGTATTTGCAGAAGGCTGGTGCAGGAGATTTTGTCGCTCCAGTTCTGTTTGGACCCAGACCTCTCTGACCCTACAGACCTGCTGAAGCCTCAGTCTGAGTCAGGGCAGACCCCCGGACACTGCTGCTGAAGGGGTAGCAGTAGTAGTAGTAGTTGTTGTTGGAGCAGTAGAAGAAGAAGTAGTAGTAATAGTAGTGGCAGTAGAAGTCACAGTAGTAGGGGTGGGAGTAGTAGTGATAGCAGTAGTCCTAGTAGTGGCCCTAGTCCTACCAGCAGTAGCAGTAGTACCAGTAGTGGGAGGAGGAGGAGAAGGATGAGGAGCGTTAGTACGAGTGTAGAAGCAGTTTTTTTTTTAAATATTGTATTCATGTTCGATGTTTTTACTTGTTGTATTGTGTTTTGATCTGTAGCACTTTAAGGTTTCTTGGAAATGTGAGGTGCAAAATAAAACAACGTAGTAGTAGTAGTACATGTTTACACTTAGTTAAACATATCTGTACAAATAAAAATATATTTTGTAAAACACGTAGTTGTACTGTATATTTGAATGTGTGTGTAACTCTTGTCTGCCACTAGAGGGAAGTTGTTCAGTTCTTTATCAAACTGGTCTGTAGTGTGTGTTGTTTGAACTTGTTTTATGCTATTCCGTTTGTTTTTGCTTTAATAGCCTATTTGTTAAAAAGGGCAAGAGTGCAAATAACAGGAAAAGAAGGTGGAGGCTGGAGTATCTCTTAACTAATGAAACATAAATTTAAATTGTATTAAATAATGTTGGTGTTGATGATTTTGATTATTGACTTTTGTTATTTTTTCTAGCACTCGCACACACACACCTCCCATATGGTAATGTTTCATGTTGCCTCAATTTTTGTATTCCTTGTATGTCCCCATGTTTCGTCGCTGCTCCAATGTTTTTTGTTGTACCAATCATTTTCACTTTGGTAAGTCCATGTATCACTTTTGTATGTATCACTTAATTAAAAAACAAAACAAATTAAAGCCGCAAGCGGCATCTAACGGCCCTCGCCGCACCGTGCAAAGGAGGTGGCGCTGACGCGCCATTTTCCCACTGCCCTGACGGGAGCGACACTGTGCATTTTGAATTCCTATGATCAGTGATTGTGTGTCTCTATTGAAAAGGTAAACCCCAGTCTCTCCATGTAACACTTGTATCACTCTGTAGGGGGCGCTATTGCTGCAATTTCGTCTTTTACACTTTCAGTTCACCCAAACCCGAGAGTTGAACAATCAATTCAAATTTTGTGCAAATCGAAATTTGTATGTGCAAATGGTGGCATTTATGTTGTACAACAGCGCCCCCTACAATTTAAATTTTTTTGTCTTATACAAAAGAACACCAAAATAATACACTTAATGCCTGAAAAAAAATTGTGGCAAAGTTTGGTGAGTTTTTACGTTTGTTCAGTGGGTCAAATATGAGATCAAACAACAGAAAACCTAAATACCTTTATCCCTGTGTAAACCTTTACTCAGCCTGTAGGGGGCGCTAATGGGCGAATGTCATTTTTCACACTGTCATGTGACCTAGGCCCAGTAGTTGAACAACCGAGTCAAGTTTAGTGCTAATCAGAGTTTGTGAATGTGCTCCTGTTTGCACATACAATCTGTGAGTGTGTCCATACAGTCTCCATTGGATAACATGGGAACTTCACACCTCTCTATGAAAATAACCACAATTTGGGAGTCTGTCACGCTCAGACTGTTTGACTAATTCAAATTCTATATTCAACTATTGATGGTCCATGAGTTGAGACCATGTGGAGCAATTTTCAGCCAAATTAGTGAAACGGCCACAGCTCGTTTGATGTTTGAGCGAGGTGTACTTTTCAGAGATTTAACGATTTTCTCATAGACACAGACAGGGGAGTGTTGGTCGTCGCCACGGCAACAGGGTAAAAAAAATCATATGTTGTCATTGACTTTTTGAATCCAGATGACAAAACAGAATTATGTGCAAAATTTCAAATATTTTGAAAAAACTAAATTTTATTAGGCCCATGTAAAACTTTGACATAGTCTCTAGGGGGCGCTAATGAGCCAATTTCAATATTTCCACTTTCAGATGACCTAGACCCTGGAGATGAACAATGGATTACAATTTTGTGCAAATCTGACTTTTTGTGTGCAAATGGGAGCAAATTTACTTTTGTCAAAAATAGAAAAAAAAAAAGTCACATTTTGCCGCTCCGCTGCTCGGACAACGTTTAACTGATCCAAATTCTATATTCAATAATTGATGGTACAAGTGTTTAGACCATGTGGAGCAATTTTGATACAAATCGGTGAAACGGCCGAGGAGGAGATAATTTCCAACCGACATGTGTGAAAAATATAAATTTTCATTTTTCCGTTTCCCATTTAAATTAATGAGCTCCCTGTTTGTCAGGGGGCGGAGCCATAATAACTTTTCTTTCATGTCTTGACCTGAGGAACATGTGTACCAAATTTCGTGGCTCTACGACAAACTTGACCTCCGACCCGCTCCCATAGGCGCAATGTAAACTGACTTTTGTAGGGGGCGCTGTTCGGGCATATTTTTTGTCCCATAAAAATAAACACCAAAAAAATTAATTTTTCGCCAGTTCTGAATTTTGGGCAAAATTTCACAACTTTTCATCAATGTTCAGAGGGTCAAATTAAGGTTCAAAGCGCAGAAGAAAAAAGAAAGAAACCAAACCAAACCAAAGAATTTTTTTTGCAAATCTTCGAGCAAAAACAATATAGGTTTCCATAGTAACCTATAATACAAATGATACGTTGTTTTAAAGCGAACGACGAGGCGAACGCAACTATTGGGTTCTCGGTGATTGACGAGCGGTCATGAGGTCACCCACCCCCCCCATAGGACCCCATTCATTACACTGTGTACTACAGCAGGAGCAAAGCCATTCAGTGCCTCTGGCACTGTTTTGTCAGTGTCTGGGCACATGCCGTCGGGCTTGGGGGACGAATGTCCGGGCGCGTAAGACAGTTGAAAGAACCCCCCTTTAATAGGACCTCAATAATTACACTGTGTACTACAGCAGGAGCAAAGCCATTCCGTGCCTCCGGCACTGTTTTGTCAGTGTCTGGGCACATGCCGTCGGGCTTGGGGGACGAATGTCCGGGCGCGTAAGACAGTTGAAGGAACCCCCTTTTAATAGGACTTTAATAGGCGGAGATTGTGACTTATGACAGTTACAACGAGTCATAAGCCCAGGCATTACTCGTTGGAAAAGCAATAGGCCCTTACCCCGGTTGGGGCTCGGGCCTAAAAAAGGGCAAGAGTGGTTAGGACTCTCACTTCTGAGCAAGAAGGTCCTGGATTGAAATCATGGTCGGAGCAGGGTCTTTCTGAGTGGCATGTTCTCCCTGTGCAGGTTTCCTCCAAGTGCTCCGGTTTCCCCTACCATTGACTGTACCAGGTTCTATGTACAGTGGTAGTAGTAGTAGTAGTAGTAGTAGTAGTTCTCATATTCCCATTGTCCATGTTTTTGTCTCAGCCGTGATGGGTAAAGAAGCCGAAGCACTTCCTCTGCCTACATCCCCCAGAATGCCGTCTGCTTTTCTTCCTATTTTTAGGTTATCAAAGTTATCAACAGTTATCAAACATTTTATCGACCCCATTTTATATCGATATTGATAACATGACCATCGCAACACATCTCGTTATCGCCCAGCCCTATTATACTCAATGCAGCGCAAAAATCAGAACGTGGGCATTATCCCAGGGGACGATTTGAGGACCATTGTTTCAGATAATGGTCTCACTTTTTGCAGTGAATTTGAATTTACAAGGTTATAGGGGGAAAAAGTGGGTAGGCTACTTAAGCTCCACCCATGTCCTCAAATCTCAAGGTTAGGACTGGACTCACAGATCCAAGACTGAGGCTGTAGATCCAGGACTGAGGCTGTAGATCCAGGACTGAGGCTGTAGATCCAGGACTGAGGCTGTAGATCCAAGACTGAGGCTGTAGATCCAGGACTGAGGCTGTAGATCCAGGACTGAGGCTGTAGATCCAGGACTGAGGCAGTAGATCCAGGACTGAGGCTGTAGATCCAGGACTGAGGCATCCAGGACTGAGGCTGTAGATCCAGGACTGAGGCTGTAGATCCAGGACTGAGGCAGTAGATCCAGGACTGAGGCAGTAGATCCAGGACTGAGGCATCCAGGACTGAGGCTGTAGATCCAGGACTGAGGCTATAGACCCAGGACTGAGGCTGTAGACCCAGGACTGAGGCTGTAGATCCAGGACTGAGGCTGTAGATCCAGGACTGAGGCTGTAGATCCAGGACTGAGGCAGTAGATCCAGGACTGAGGCAGTAGATCCAGGACTGAGGCAGTAGATCCAGGACTGAGGCATCCAGGACTGAGGCTGTAGATCCAGGACTGAGGCTGTAGATCCAGGACTGAGGCTGTAGATCCAGGACTGAGGCTGTAGACCCAGGACTGAGGCTGTAGATCCAGGACTGAGGCTGTAGATCCAGGACTGAGGCTGTAGATCCAGGACTGAGGCTGTAGATCCAGGACTGAGGCTGTAGAAACATATGAGCAGTGGCTGTGCAGGCTCAAGTCGATGGGCCTTTTGCGGTGAGACAGTCTGGAGCAATAACGAGGTGGGGTGCGTGTTCATGCGGGTTGCCAGGTTCTGATCCACCACCTTCCTGGCACCAGCAGCACGGCGCGCACATGGTGTCCGCGTGGGAAGAGCGACACATGGAGCGACATGTGAAAACTCATGATGGAGTCAGCTCGATGTGGGCTGTCGACAAACGCTGCAATAACGTGTTTTTTTGATCATCGCTAACCCTTCTGCTTCCTGACCAGACTAGACAAAGATGTATTTAAGTAGGGCAAGACGATCTCTCTCCCCATTGGTTTAAGGTCTATATATTGGCCATACCTGCAGGTGAAAGCCAGATCCCGTCAGACCTCTGAAGCAGTGCCTGGTTAGTTCTGTGATGGGAGACCTCTTGAAACACAAGGTATCACAGCGGAGCGGCTGTAAAGGGCCGAACTCAAGAATTTATTAGAAATCTTACCCTAATTTTTACAGTTTTTGTAGTTTTGGTTTCTAAAAACTACAAAACTGTAACCATGTGAGCGCCAGGCTCCTCAGCTCCTGTGCAGACGAACTGTGCGGAGTTATGGGGCACGTCTTCAACATGAGCCTCCGCTGAGGTCGGTACCACAGATCTGGAAGACCTCCTGTGTGGTACCAGTGCCCAAGAAACCACGGGCCAAAGACCTCGGCGATTTCAGGCCAGTGGCTCTAACATCCCACTGCATGAAGACACTGGAGAGACTGGTCCTGGGACATATCCGCTCCACTCTGAGCCCAGCGATGGACCCGCTGCAGTTCGCCTACAGGCCGGGCATCGGAGTAGAGGACGCCATCATCTCCCTCCTCCATCGCTCCCTGTCCCACCTTGAGAAACCCGGCACCGCTGTGAGGATTATGTTCTTCGACTTCTCCAGCGCCTTCAACACCATCCAGCCGAGGCTTCTCAGGGACAAGCTGGAGACAGCGGGTGTGGACCACGACCTGTCTGAGTGGATCCTGGACTACCTCACAGACAGACCCCAGTTTGTGAGAACCAGGGACTACGTGTCTGAGGTCCTGACCTGCAGTGTGGGGGCCCCCCAGGGGACAGTCCTCGCACCGTTCCTCTTCACCCTCTAGACTGCGGACTTCAGACACAACACAGACGGTTGTGTTCTACAGAAGTTCTCTGACGACTCTGCCATCATCGGACTCAGCTCCGAGGACAATGACGCAGAGTACAGAGGAGTTATACAGGACTTTGTGGACTGGTGTCAGCGGAACCACCTCCTCATCAACGCGGGGAAGACCAAGGAGATGGTGGTGGATTTCCGCAGACGTCACTCTGCCGCTCCAGCCCCAGTGTACATCCAGGGAAAGGGAATTGAGAGAGTGGACTCTTACAAGTACCTGGGTGTTCATCTGAACCACAAACTGGACTGGACTCATAACACAGACGCCCTCTTCAAGAAGGGCCAGAGCCGCCTCTACCTGCTGAGGAGGCTCAGGTCTTTTGGAGTGCAGGGGCCACTCCTGAAGACCTTCTATGACTCTGTGGTGGCATCAGCCATCTTGTACGGTGTGGTCTGCTGGAACACAGCATCACAGAGAGGGACAGGAAGAAGCTGGACAAGGTCATCAGGAAGTCCAGCTCAGTCCTGGGCTGTTCCCTGGACACAGTGCAGCAGGTGGGGGACAGGAGGGTCCTGGACAAACTAACATCTATGCTGGACCATGACTGTCACCCCCTGCAGGACACTCTCTCTGCTCTGGAGAGCAGCTTCAGTGACAGACTAATTCACCCTTGATGTGTGAAGGAGAGGTTTCGCAGGTCTTTCCTTCCTGCTGCTGTCAGACTGTACAACAAGAATGTGTAACAGGAACTGCTGAGTCTGCACAAGTGTTTCTGATAATTCACTAGTAACTTTGTCACTAGTCACTTTACCTGTTATCAGTACTACTACTACATATCTGATATTTACTGTTATCAGTACTACTGTATTATTTCCATATCTCTGATAATTCTGCCTTTCGCCGTCACTTTACCTGTTGATATCTTACTGTGTATTATTCATATCCATCTGATAATTCTCCCATTCAAGTCACTTTACCTGTTGATATTATTTCTGATGCTTATTCTGCTCATATTCTCATATTCTCCGCTGCTAATGTATAATATAGACATCTGTAAATACTCCGAACCAAGTGCAATTGTACGCAGCCAAGATTCCATGCCAAGATTCCATATTTGGTATTGACAGGAGCAGTTAAAAAGGAAAGCAAGGAGTGACGGGGAGCTTCTTCTGCGCAGAGCTCCATGCAGGATTGACGGGTCTCCCCATGTATGGTTAATTGAGTTAATAAACGCATTATATTAATTTTAATTCTCGGCTCCTGTGAAAGTTCTTATTGACAATCAAAGTAAACCACTACACTATTAATAAAGGCAACACTATTAATAAAAGCAACACTATAAATAAAGGCAACGCTATTCATAAAGGCAACGCTATTAATAAAGGCAACGCTATTCATAAAGGCAACACTATTAATAAAGGCAATGCCATTAATAAAGGCAACACTATAAATAAAGGCAACGCTATTAATAAAGGCAACGCTATGAATAAAGGCAACACTATAAATAAAGGCAACACTATTAATAAAGGCAACACTATAAATAAAGGCAATGCTATAAATAAAGGCAACGCTATTAATAAAGGCAACGCTATTAATAAAGGCAACACTATTAATAAAGGCAACACTATAAATAAAAACAAAGCTATTAATAAAGGCAACGCTATAAATAAAGGCAACGCTATTAATAAAGGCAACGCTATTAACAAAGGCACAGCTGCTGCCACCACCAGGAAGTTTTGCGAGTGCTTACGAGGATGGATTTGCAAGTGCTTACAGGGATGCCAAGGAGCGCTGGGCTGCCTGTACAGTGGTAGTGTCTGGCCTGAAATATACGAACAGGGCAGAGGATGAGCAGCGCCCCAGCTGTGGAGGGCAGAAGGGGAAACCCAGAGACGCCGTGCGCGTAGCAGCGCCTGTCCTAAGGGAGTGAGCTGTGTAGAGATGGGGAGACAGATTACGTAATAGCAAACTCCTCGTGCCTTTGACGAGGAGTTTGAGTGACAGCTCTGAGAATAGAGAGGAGAGAACAGGGTTGTAGCAGCGGGTCTGAAATTGGGTCCCAGCCAGCAGTGTAGGTATACGAGGTAAGAAGGATATTGTCTGCACGGTGAACTATGAAAGCACTGATTGTGTGAACAGCAGGCAAGGTAGAGGAATGTTGTCTGAGTAGTAGAAGTGGGAGTAGACTTTCCGGCGAAGCTGAATGTTATGAGCGTAGAATGCGAAAGACCCATTTTCGTGTACGAAGAAGAGAAGACGAAGAGAAGGTGGGACTAGTCCAAGGCGGGGAACTCCATGGCGGGGGTCTCGCATGGCATCATGTAGCCTAGGCGCTGGAATTCCTGGGATTTAAATTGAGAGAGACAGTCAGTATGCAGTTAAAGTGACCAGGGACGTGTCGTGCAGTGATGGAGATGTTTGAGACTGAGAGCCGTGTGATTTGTCTGAGAAGGAATCTTGGGTAGAGGAAGAAGGACCTTTATTTAGATTTCTACGACGTCCAGCTTGTTGACATCACAGAGATCCTTTTCCTCTGCAACATGGGACTCCAGGCGCACGGGCCACGACTACTGGACCTTTGTGGAGGGCAGAGGAGAGGTTCCGAGGGAAATTCTTTGGGCGCTGAGCAAGGCGCGGAAGAAAGCCCCTCGGAACGGCGGCCTCACGGGAGCCGGGACTGGCCCCACAGCACGGAGCGACGAAGGAACCAGGCTCCAAGGACAGCACGGCTAGGACATCAGGAGACACCAGCTTCGACGGAAGGCCCGCCTCACATGGCCCAACGGCACCTAAAAGACAAACTGTTGCAGCGTATGAAATGCAGCCAGGTCGACCCGCGGCATGAACAGACCAGATTCCGCCCAGTATCTTATTTTTTTTTTTGGAAACTGCAGCGGCAATGACCAGCAGCTCGAGGATTGTTTCCTCATTCGCGCCCTTGCATGTTTCTTGAAGGACCCATCAAGCATGAAATTTTATCATTGCCACGTCGAAGAGGTCCACGGTACCGCTTTGCGGGAGAGGCCACGTTGCGAGCCCGGTCCACGGAGACCCCCCCGCCACAGTCGGAACGAAAGTTGAGAACACGTTCTCCGAGCAAGACGAACCAGAGTCAGCGCAGTCCTTATGTGACCAGGAGCACGAGATCTTCCAGTGGACCCCGAAACGCAGACTGCTAACAAAGTGCGAGACGGTCTGCGCCAGTACGAAGGGGAAACATTGCACCACTCCGTGCTTTATCACGTTCTCCGAGATCAGCCCAGAAACGATGCAACCAGCACTCGGGGAATCAACAGCCCGCCTGCAGTCAAGAGCGCGGGGTCAAAAACAGCCAGCCTGCAGCCCGGTGCGCTGGGTCAAAACAGCTAGGCGAGACGAGCAGCGGCAAACCCGCAGAAGGAGCCCGCAAAGAGGAGAGCGGCAAAGACCCACAGACCACGGCGCGAGACCCGCAGCAGGAGCAGCGACGCGGAGGAGGAGCAGATCACAAGCAGCAAGACGGAGGACAGCAGGGGCACTCACGAGTAAGCGTGAGTAGACGACAGCGATTCCTCCAGAACGACTCCTTGCGAGGCTTGAGAAGGCCGTGAAGTGGGAGTCTCCGCTTTTAAGCTGCTTGCCTGGCCTGCATAGGTTGGCTGGGAATGGGCATTTTTGTCTGTCAGATGTCTGAATACTTAACATGTATATTGCATTTGGTCACAGGTTCTGGTTGTCAGCAATAGCATCGGCAATAGACGTTTTTCATTGGCTGGTTCTTGTTCTGCAAATGGCTGTGTCCAATAGATCATCAGATGTCCAGAAGCTAGGGACAAACAAAAACAAAAGAAAGAATCATGAGTATCTCTCTCATTTAGCACTCATCAATGGCATTATTTCAAAAATATAAACATCACTCGCCAGTTTTTTCTCTCTCAGGTCCTCAGATCCTCAGGTCCTCAGGTCCCCTGAGGGTGAGTCTCAGTCGTCATCAGGTCAGGTCATAGAGAGACGTCATCTTGGACATCAGTAGGGTCCAAGCCATGGTTTTGGTCTCTCCAGATTCATTCTGGTCACTCCAGGTACATCAGGTCACTTGGGTTGCTCTTTGCGATGCACTTCTGGTCAATGGTGCAGTGTCTCAGTTCCTGTACACAGCTTGTTATGCAATAGTTACTTTCTATGGTTAATTAACTTTGATTCTACTTTAAAGACAATTTCTATTCATGCTGTTGCTAATGTCCCTCAGACAAAAGCAAGCGCAATGATTCAGTTTACTTCTCTAATTTGTGTTTTTATCAGATCTAATTCTCATCAATGTAATTACTTCACACAGTACAAAATCAACAAATCAAAAGTGTCAGGACAGACGTCAATTATGTCCATGACAATATAGAATTCAAATGAACATTTCTGGTCTCAAAAAATACTGATTCAACTAAAGATTCAAGTGATAGACAATTAAAAATGTGTTTACATTGGAGTAAACTTTTAATGCTTTTTTCTCATGTTCTGCTTTTTCATGTATCTATATGTAAATGTGAATGTGTGAGTGTATGTGTGTGTGTATGTGTGTGTGTGTGTAGGGTGTGAATTTTGGGGTTTGTCTCTCCATACTCCTCGAACCACCTGTAGGTCTCAAAGGTCACACTGTGGTGATGTAAACCACGTAGACACACTTTCAACTTCCTCTAGGTCTCTACCTGAGGCCTCCACCCATCACGTCTCCAGAAACCTCTCTCTACCCCGGTCTCTCTCACAGCTCTGGAGTGGCGTGGGGAGGGGCAAGGAGGTGGCATTTCCCTTTGCTCTTTGATCTGTGACCTGTGGCTGGGTGTGCTTTGCGCTGTCCAGTGTCCAGCAGTGACCTCTCGTACAGTGAGGCAGAGTCTGAAAAACAATCCTTGAGACGGCCAATTTAAAAAACAACAGATATCAGTATGCGAATGAGATTGTTTTTCTCCCTAAAGTCAAAACAATTTTGGAGCGCTCTGGGTTTTCCCACATGCGCTATGTAAATAAAAGATTACTTATTATCTTACTAATGTTGACATTTTTAAAACCAGAAACTCTTAATATAAAAAAACAAGACTCAAATCTAAAAAAACCTTTTTAAACTTTAAAAAATGTATTATGTACTTTTGTACTGTGTGATTAATTATCTATGCGTCCTTGGGTTTCACTTTATGGACTTTCCCTTTTACACTTATTTATCTCAGCATCTATTCTACTAATTTAAAATAATTTTCAAAATGAAGTCAATATAAATTGGAGCACATTTTAGACCAGGCTCCTCTGCTGTGTGCATCAGCAGCAGGAACAAGGTCAGGCGTGTAGTCAAAACAAAAACAAAAAGTCGCCACTTGCAAGGTGAATTGGGTAGAGTTTAACCTAATAATATAATACTTTTACAGCTAATTCCTAATTCCCTCTTTCTTTTTAGACGAAGTCTATAATCAATAATCACTTTTAACAGATTCTAATTTAAATGTTTGAAAAACGGCTTTTGTAACTAAAATAAAAACATAAAAAAATTCTCACTAACAACTATGAAATATATCAGAGATACAATAATGGACTCACAAAATAAGCAGCAGATTTAAAAAGAAAAGCAAAGCTTTAGCACTAATATTTGGGTTTCAAAAACATATAATATTCAAAACTTATTCACTAATGGTGTTTAAAAAGGTTTAACTGTGTCATAACACAATGTTAGAAAGGCAAATTTCGCAAATTTAACGGAATAACAACTATGAAAAGCCAGAAATCCTAAAAGCAGTAGCTTTGCTCTGATTCAGAGCCAGATCAGCGAAGGTGGGGGCCGTTTCCCTGACAACGGCAGCAGATAGAGCGACGCACACACACAGGCAGAAAGATACAGAAGAATAACTTTCAAGATTACTTTGCTAAGCAAATATAACTGATGTTGTTCTTTAAACTTTTGTCATCCAAGTCTAGAAGTGATCACTTTCCACACTAGTAACAAAAGGCACTCTTTAGTGTTTAACGCTTCCCTTTTTATAATTACTTTTAATTTTACACCATGGTTTCACTAACTATTTTCTATTCTCTATTCTCTGCCCCGGCTACTCCAAAGGCAGGGACCCCGATACGTCAGGGGTTCCTTTTTCTCTCTGCCCTGACTACTTCAAAGGACAGGGACCCCGATACGTCAGGGGTTCCTTTTTCTCTCTGTCCTGACTACTTCAAAGGACAGGGACCCCGATACGTCAGGGGTTCCTTTTTCTCTCTGTCCTGACTACTTCAAAGGACAGGGACCCCGATACGTCAGGGGTTCCTTTTTCTCTCTGTCCTGACTACTTCAAAGGACAGGGACCCCGATACGTCAGGGGTTCCTTTTTCTCTCTGTCCTGACTACTTCAAAGGACAGGGACCCCGATACGTCAGGGGTTCCTTTTTCTCTCTAATCTTATCTATAGATATTAGACATTTGGTGGACCTCAAAACAGACCATAATTTAGTTCACTCAATTAGCAGACTTTGAATAAACAGGTGTCCGCTCTTACCTTTTGTCGAACAGGGCGCCAGGCACCGTCAGAAGTCCACCAAATATCAGCTTTTCCACGTCCAACCAGGTCTCCAGATCATGAACCAGCTCTCACTAGTACCGGGAACTAGTTTCCATCGGCAGAGACCAATCGCACGTCAAAAATCCCCGGAATGTGGACATGGGAAAACAATTTTAAACGCTAAGTCCAAAAAACAGGACACAAAAAAATATAGTGAGACAGCGAAAAAGAGTCCCGGAGCCGGTCGCCTCTCCAGCCTGCTGGACCGCTCCCAGGCCCCAGATACTCTCAGCTCTCCCACGCCGAGAAAAAGAAACAAAGAAAACTCCCTCAAAACAATCCAGAGAATGGCACACACTGAGCCGCGCATTCTCCACCAAATCTGTCAGGATTTAAGCAGACAGAGACGGATCGTGGTGTGCCAAACTCTGGAAGTTTATTTAAGTTTCTCTCAAGTTCCACTGGTTTCCTCTGTTTCTTTCTCTCAGACAGAATAAAGGCAGTACACAGTTTATATAGTCATTGTCACGTCACACATCGAAAGACATACGTGTCACAAAGAGACAGTCACATCATAGTCAAAACATGGAGTCCTTGTAGAGTCCTTGTACAGTCCTGCACGTAGGCCATATTGCTATCTAATACTAATAAACTGTTCTGTTTAGCTGTGATTACACCTGAAGGATTTTATGATTACTATTTTTAATGCAATGTGATTATTCAGGATATAAATAACTTGCGTGATAATTTCTATCTTGTTTTTTAAGCACTATAAGTTGTCTTGTGTATGCCTTGTGTAAAAGCTGATATGCTATACATATAAACCTGCCTAGACACAAGGCAAGACAGGTTTATATGAATAGAATGCTTCTCGACAAAAAAGTGACTCTGGACCTATCTCAAGTGTAAATGGGTTAGGGACAAGATTCAGGTCATTTTCAATATCTCTGTCTATATCAGTCAATCAAATTATATACAGTCTATGATCAAAACGAGCAGAAAAGCCAACATATGTCACACGACTTGAGAGATCACTTAAACTGGGTCACCAGGTAATGAGGTTTGCTTTTTTGTCTTTCTGTAAACTTGACCCAAAGAAGAGATGTGTTTTGACTTCTGGCAGCCGAGGAACAGCGCTGATAACGCGGGTGCAGCTGCAGAGAAGGGAAGACTGATCCTCCACACCTCTCGAACGTGACCAGCCAGCCCCCGGATTCCCGCACATGTGACCGGTTCTAGTGGTCCGTCATCATGCACGTTTGACGAAGCTGGGTGCTGCGTTTGTGGGTAAACGGGGAAAAAGACAAGTTAATTTGTGGTTGCGTTTTGGTGTGGGTGTGTGTGTGTGTCATAGACTGTAATGTGCGTGCAATAATAATTACAAAATATACAACGAAAATAAATAAAATGTTAACACAAAAACACACTCACGCGAGCACACACACACGCACACGCGCGCGCGCACACGCACACACACTCTCTTTCCTTTAACATAACTCTTTTCGTCTTTGATTTGAGTTTGCCTCTGAGTGTCCTTTCTCCGTTGTCCCCTGAACGCACCGCCCTAGCATTAAGCTGTGAGATGACGCATGCGCATTTGGGTCCTACGGGCTCTTATGAAACAATCTGGCAGGAGCTGGTTCCCCTCTCAGACACCAGACCGCTTCTCTCTCTCCAAACACCGGCTCGCACTGCTCTGCACGCCGAAGAAATGCGCCTATCTCTGGGCTTGAGATAAACCACACACCCGGGAGCCACCTCTAGGTAAGCCCCGCTGTATCCAACACTTCTT